GTAAACTTAAATTACTTACCCCACCAAAAAAAAAAAAAAAAAAAGAAGAAGAATGAAGATTGCTAGTGAACTTTGTGCTGCTATCTAATCCAGTGGTCAGCTCTCAAGCCTTCATCCTGCTTTACTGCTCACACAGTTCATACAGCAGCCTTTGTTGTGATTTATCCTTAAAATATTTTCTTTGCTTGGCTTCCAGGATACCACATTCTGGTTTCTCCTCCGTTTCACTGGCTGTTCATTTTCTGCCCCCTTGGCTCTTTCACTCTCACTTCCGAGACTTCTTAACTTTGGAATGTCTCAGGGCTCTGTCCCTGGACCTCTTCTCTTTTCCACACTTGCTTTTGGGGATCTCCTCTAATCTCATGTCTTTAAATATCATCTAAATATGGTTAAAATTCTGAGTTGTGTTTCCGGCCCTTACCTTTTTCATAAGCTTGTATATCCAGCTGCCAACTCAGCACCTCCATTTGGGTGACTCAGTCATTATAATTTAAGAATCGCAAAGTGGACTCACTCTCCCCACCTCCCAAACTGCTCTTCCCATAGCCTTCTCAATTTCATTAAGTGGCAACTTCATTCTTCCAGTTGCTCAGGCTGAAGCATCTGATGTCATCCCCGACTTTTCTTTTTACATCGCACATCGACTCTTAATAGTCAGTTCTATCATCTCTACCATCGAAGTACCATCTTTCATCAAATCTAAGATGCCACCAATTCTAAAGATGTATTCTTTGCACCACTAAGAAAGAAAAAATGCCCCCAAATTATGGTGTGTCATCAATTTCAATGCACATTCCAAACGTCGAGATTAAAGTGTGAAAGATACGCATCCTTTGAATCAATCAAACATCCGGTTTCTAAAATCCAGCCTCTTCTCACCACATTCACTGCTACCACCGCAGTTCATTTTTGGTTATTTCTCACCAGTTACCACAACAGCCACGGACTTGTCTTCCTGCTTTTGCCCTTGTCCCCACCCCGCCAACCCCCGCCTCCCCTCCCCATCCCCCGGCTTATTCTCACAACGCCCGCCAGTGTTCTTTTTTGTAAATCATGGTCAGCTCGTGGTGCTTCTCTGCTCAGACCCCGCTGCTCCCAGTCTCATTCAGAGTAGAAGCCAGAGTGTTCACAGTGGCCTCCAGGAGCCTTCAGGGGCTGGTTTCCTGTCACTTTTCTCATTTCCTCTCCAGCCGGTCTCCCCCTCACTTACTTTAGCGCATTGGCTGCCTTGCTGTTCCTCCAACATACTGAGCACACCTTGGAGCCTTCCCTCTGGCCTCTTCCTCTGCCCAGATGCCCTGCCCTCGGACAGCCCTGTGACTGCTTCCGGCTTTTACGCACGTGTCCCTCTTCAGTGAGGCCCCAACTCCAGAGAAGCTTTATCCCTTCTTCTGCTAATTTTTCTGTGTCACTTATAACCACACGATAGACTATGTATTTTACTTCATTTTGTTTATTGGCTGTTTGCCCTCCACTAAATGTAAGCTCCACGAGGGCAGGGGTTTTCCCCCTCCGTTGCACTGCTTTTAGAACCTAAAAGGTAGAAGTAAGTGCTCACTAAATACGTGTTGAATAAAGGGATGTTTCACATGGAGCGTGGAGGTGCTGGGGTTGAGTGCGCGCGTGCAAAGTGCTGTGTTGTCTTTCCTCTTGCTCAGGATGACCCTTGGTTATGTGAGTGACCACTGGGCACAGTTCGTGAGCCACAACCAAGGCTCGGGATTGGCCCTGCAGCCCTACTCCATGGAGAAACTGCAGGTTGAGTTCGATGAGCTGTTTTTGAGAGCTGTCCTCCATGTGCTGAAAGCCAAAAGGTAAGAACTGTGATGATCATTGTTGAGAACTCATCCCTGGCTAGTGAGAAAGAGCGGAGTCAAAGCCACTGACTGACCAGAGCTCCTACAATAAGGCCGCAGCGTGTTTCGTCTATTTCTTATCTTGAATTCTTGGGCTTTGGTTTTCCCTTGTCTGTAGTGTTGACTGAAATGATCAGGTTTCTTTCAGTCTTAAAATAACCTGCTTCTGCTGTCTTAGTTTTGCCACCCGGAACTTTTGGGGTAACTTCGAGCAGGGGATGAATTGTATTTCACACCCAGCTCTAGTGCCCACGGGAGGCAGAGTAGGCCCTCAGCATGCAGAGCAAATGATTTGCTGCTTTTGTTGTTTCACTGAGGGTTTTCAGGTCTAGGACTGTCGCAGGTCCCGGTCCCCTGTCCTGGCTGAGTAAATGCTGTCCTCTCATCATGGCATCTTTTTGCTGCTTACAGCCTGGGATACGTTTGAGACAGGAGGGGGCACAACAGCTCGTCCTGCACCATCTTCCCTGAGCTTCTGGCCAAGTGCGGGAGCAGGTTCTGCTGCAGCAGCGTGCCCCCCGCGATGAGGTGGGGGCTGGCCTCCAACCCCACCCTGCTCCACTCATGAACTAGCCCTCCCCCACTTTTGCTGCCTTCTGGGCTGTTGACACTCTTGCCATGGGCCCCTTAGTCTCTGCCCCTTATTTGTGGGTGTTGTGTAGTGGGTTCGAGTCCCAGTCTGCCAAGACTGTCGCCTTGGGCAAGTCACTTAACATCTGTGGTCGGTTTTCATTGATAAAAAGGAGATGATGATAACCATGCTGCCTGTTCCTTCCCCCTCGCGGGTCCGGCGTGAGGATGAAATGCAGCAATGATGGAGGGGCTTTTTAAACCGTGAAGGACTTTGCACATGTCCGTGGTGGTGGCTTTTGTGTGATTTCAGATAAAGAATAGAGTAACTGCTCACTTAGAGAAAGGTCAGGACTCTGACTTCAGTCTCAAAACCACTCAGAAGGCATGGCTCTAAGACAGATAGAACATGGGCTTAGAAATTCATCTTTAGATCACTCTTGGTGCATATTCTGTATTGTCTCACAAAGTGCACCAAGTCCTGGGCAGAGCCCTGCCAGGGGCCCCGTGCAGTAGCACTCACTCAGGGAGGCCGGCCTGGTGCTGGAGAAGAGTCTCCTGTCTCTGATCTCCTGTCACCTGTTCCCAGTGTGTTTAGCTGAGAGCAGAGCTTTCTAGAGGAAAGACCCTAGTTCCTTCCGAGGTCTTCCACACTGAGCCGTGAGCCCTCCTGTAACAGCACGCATGTAATTCACAAAGATGACTGTTGTTTCACGTTTTAAGATGCTGAGAGACGTTCTGGAGCGTAATTTATTTTGGAACTTTCGTATATGAAATACAAATTTATCTGGCACTCCAATGGAGATTTCTTTATTTTTTTAAATTCCTTTTAAAAATTATTTATTTATTTGTTTGTTTTTATTTAAATTTTATTGGGGGAGGTAATTAGGGCTTTTTATTTTTTCCTTTTCCAGTTTTATTAGGTAGAATTATTACAGTTCAACTGCATATTTTATTTTTTTAACAGAGGCACTGGGGATTGAACCCAGGACCTCATGCGTGCTAATAAGCACGCGCTCTACCGCTGAGCTATACCCTCCGCTCCCATGGAGATTTTTGACAGTAGCTATCCCCCAACCTAAAACAGAACAAACCAGAACCGAAAGACAGACAACGAAAGCCACAGCTGGACTTAGCTTCATGTCTGCCATTCAGGGAATTTTGTAGCCTGAAATATTCACTGTCTTATGACATTACATTGAAGGCCTCAGTGTTTTGGGATCCGTTACACAAGAACGTCAAGTCCTGTGTGCAGTGTTGGGATAATTACTTAATAAGACAGAAGCCTGACCCACATGAGCTGAGAGAAGTTTCTTCAGCTCTGGCTCAGGAGTCTAAAGTTGCTTTTCAAAGTCGAAGTCAGTGATGGTTTGGGCCACAGACGGGTTAAACATGCAGTATTTAATTTCTTTTTCTCTGTGATTGATTAAGTTGTAGTTTTGCCCAAAATATAGCAACAGTTTTAAGTACCTCCCTGTTTTTCTTTCTTAGATTTTTTTTTTATTGAGATAAAATTCATGTAACAAAGTATTAATGACCATTTATTGAGTATGGAATTTTTTTGAGATACTAGTTTAGATGCTGAATAATTAAACAAGATTCTAAGTTACATGCTGGTTTATACAGACTTGGTTTCTGCTGTCAAATTACTGCATGCTGGTATGTGTTCATCAGTTACACATTTATGTTTCTCACTGTGTGTGGTTAAGGATCACTTGAATCTGAGTCATCTGGGGTGACTGTAGAAAGTGAAAATTCTTGGGCTCCAGCTGTGGCCCACAAAATCAGCATGTCTTACATGGGTCTTGGAATTCTGCATTTTCCACAGTCTCCAGGGGATTTTTCTGCCCATTGCGATGTGAGAAACACTGATAAAGGGTATGATAATGCTACAGTCAGGTGTGGTTAGAATTCCGTAACGGTGCTGAGGAGGACATCAGGGGAGGGGTGGTGGCTTGGAGTTGGGGAGTTCTTTCCGGGCTTGTCCAGGAATGGTCTAATAATCTGAAAGCAGAGAGGGCTCTGGTTGGGAATGTGTATCTGAGCTATTTTATGGAAGCCTTCAAATGTGGGGTGAGGAGTTTGGACTTCATTCGGTGATGAGTGAGGGGTCACGGAGAGCTTTTGATTCCCTTCCCCCCCACCATGCACCTGTCTGTGTGTGCACACATGTACCTGTGCACGTGCTCAAGACACATGCTTCCAGTCTAAAGAGCCTTTCTGTCTTGGGACCTTAAAAGGATCTTTGGTTCAAAACCCAGCTCTGCTTCTTAACTACCCTCTGTGTGCCCCAGTAGCCTCTCATATAAATCGGGGCTAATGTCAACAATAGTGCTTGCCTTGGTTTTAGTGAGGATGGAGGGAGATGATAAATAGATGTTGTGGCGGTCAGAACAGTGCCTGGCTCAGACTAGGTGCTTTGTGTGTATTTCCTGCTGTTCTTCATTCTCTAGGTATTTATGACTTAAGTATGCTGAAAAAAAATTGCTGTAGTGCCATTAAGAATTTGAGAATTTTTTTTTTCCTATCAGAGCTGAAGGTATGTCTACTTTCTCCGTGGTGGAGTTGCCTGATAATATAAATTATTCCTGCTCTTTTTAAAAACGCATAGACTTGGCATTTGGCTGTTTATGTCGGAAATGCCCTTCGGGACGCTGTCGGTCCAGATGCTCTGGAAGCTCTTCTATCTCATGCACCAGGTGGAGAGCAGGGATCTGGAGGAGCTCTGCACCATCCTCCCGCCTGCTGAGTGCAAGAAGCGCCTGCAAGGTACAGCCTCGCCAGAAACGGGCAGCCTCCGCCTCTCCCACCCGTGTGCCTTTTCCCTTCGCGGCTTTATTCTTTTTGCTTTTAGAAGGGCTGAGACGGAATGTTTGACTCTGTGGACTCACGTGTAATCACTTTGAAATTTTAAGAGACTGCTTTGTTGTTTTGACTTATTAGAATGATAATTCCAATTTTCATTATTCTTCAAACGCTCTGGACAGGAAGTTCTAGTATAAACTCAGTTTGGGGACAGGAAATGAAAATTGGATTGGTAAATACCCCATGGAGTCATTTTCAAAATACTGAAAAATTGATGAACTACCTTTGATTTCTCAAATGTGTAAACGTATGAAAGGAATTGTCGGCTTGTTGTCTTCTTACTGTAAAAAATTCCATGGGGAATATATTTTTTAAACAGACTATTTTCTTCCCTCTACACAGCTTTGCCTTTGCAACATTTTGGTTTTCTGTCACTTACCGCAAAGCTGTTTGCCAAGATTGCCCCCTAGTGACAAACTGTAATACTGCTCACACAGCATCCTCTCGAGAAACAGACAAGACATACATATTGCTAATTATATTCATCAGTATTGCAGTCATCATCATAGCTACTTTCTTGCCCCCAATTTTTATTTATAAGCAAATGTCATTTGTTTAGAATGCCATGTTGGTACTGAGTACTTTGCTAGTCTGAGTGGTTTTTGTTAATAGGGTTGTCATTCTCTTGGCTGACAGTTACCTAGTAGCTTCAAGTGTGCCACTGAGGAGGTCTCTCCTCGTGACAGTAGCAGTGCTTTGCGGCTGACAGAGCATCACCAGTGACATGACATCTAATCTCAAAATAACCTTTTGAGACAGATGGGGAAACTGAGGCTTGGAAGATGTTAAGTGTTGCCTGAGAAAACATCATATTTACAACTGAAATTTCATCTGGCCCAGCCTTCTTCCTGATGCCTGTAGAAATCCATTCTGGGGCAAAGAAAGATGTTTTGTGTCTTTAAATATTTCTTAATGTCTTTTAATTTTGTATCTTTTTCCTCAAACATATGTTTATTCTCTCCTCATTTTAATTTTCTTAAACTTGCAGACCCAGAACATTTTGTCAACTTTGAGAAGTGTCTTTCTTCCATGAATAGCTCAGAAGAGATTTGCCTTCTAACTACTTTTGCTCAGATGGCGCAGGCCAGAAGAACCAATGTGGACGAAGACTTCATAAAAATTATTGTCCTGGAGATATATGAGGTTAGGATATTAAGTTTTAGAAACCAGCTTAAACCATTTTCTTTCAAACTGTCCAGTCGTTGATTCTTTTGGGATTGCTTTTAGAAAAACGTGACAGCCTTGTATTGTCTGCTCTGTGGAAGGACATAATCTGTAAGGAGTACTGAACATGTGAATCACACCCATCCCATTTCTCCCTGCTCTCTCGTCATTGATGTATGAGTTTTGACAGCCTGACAGTTGTAGTTTTAATACTTTCTGTTCCGTAGCCCTGCCGCCCCACCCCATCTCCACGCCTCTGACCTTGCCAATAACATGGAAACCTGGCTTCCCAGCCGATTTAAATAAGATGATGGAAAGAATACTGAAAGAGATCTGGCTTTGTTAGAAGATCTGCTGATCACTGCCCATCTCACATCAGAAAAGATACCTTACCACTCTGGGCTTCGGTTTCTTCATCTATAAAATGACAGGCTGGGATGAGATCCTTGCTTTCTTCGGTTTTTCACTAAGCCATCCCTAACAGTAGAAGAGAGTGAACTTTGGACCCCCAAGTGTTTAGGAACATAATCCAAATGGTTACCAAAACATTACTTGGAGTTTTGTTTATATTTTTTTAAAATGCACATTTTCACTATAGGCAGTCAGTTTATCTTCATAAAAGATTTTCCTGCAAAATATTCAAGTAAATTTAAGTAAAATTATGTTTGAAGAAGATTTTTTTATCCTCTCCCTCGGTATTCCAATTTAGTAATGACAGAACTGGAGGCTCTAAAACTCTAAATCTAAAACTCTTTTCCAGGATCAAATACTCTCTTAAGCTGTTCCAGTACTTGTCCTTTGTAACCACGCATGAGGTTAAGGATCAGGTGGATCGGTCTGAAAAAATTGAGGGGATAATGTATATTTTCACACATATAAAATGACATTCTCAAAATCCATTGCTAAAGTAATATTTATGTCCTTGAATGGTATTTCAAGTGTTTTGATGAGTTCTCAGAGTGAAAGCTGTGTTCTGCATTACATTATGATTCTGTGTGTGTGTGTGTGTGTGTGTGTGTGCGCGCGCGCGCACATATGTGAAATTGAAGGAATACTTAGTCTTACTGTGATGCACTCTCACATTTTTCTGTTCTATGTTATTCTACTCTTATTTTTCTGTTCTGTTCCATTATATTAAAACAAAAACAAAACCAAAAACACTGTTGGCCATTGACATGAATGGATTGTGACCTGTACTTTAGAGGTTCAAGAGGAGCTGGTGAACATTAATATTTTAAAAGTTCTTGAAATTGGCGATCTTATTTTTTATTTAAAAATTTTTTAATATATATTTTTATTTTCACTCTAAGTTACTAGAAGATACTGAATGTAGTTCCCTGTGCTATACAGTATGAACTTGTTGTTTATCTATTTTATATATATTCGTATCTGCAAATCTTAAACTCCCAGTTTATCTCTTCCCACTGTCTTTCCGCCCTGTAACCATAAGTTTGCTTTCTATGTCTGTGAGTCTGTTTCTGTTTTGTAAATAAGTTCGTTTGTCTTTTTTTTTAGATTCCACATATAAGTGATAAACGGTATTTTTCTTTCTCTTTCTGGCTTAATTCACTTAGAATGACAATCTCCAAGTCCATCCATGTTGCTGCAAATGGCATTATTTTATTATTTTTTATGGCTGAGTGCAATCTTATTTTTTAAGAGAGAATAGATATTTCCATGAAATGTATTCTGATTTTCATCACTTTATTGGTTTCCTCTAATTTGGAAAAGTTTTAATATGGAAGGGACTGTTTAATTGTTCTGACGACTCTGGGATACACTTTCCGAATCTAGCACTTGAAGTCATTGTTCTGAAGTTGCCTTTCCCCCACATTACGTCTCCTCCCACCTTCGAGACTCAGAGTAGACACGTGGCTCTCTGAAGTTTGGACATCTCTTTGAATGCAGTGTGAACCAAAGCTTAATGTGATATTCTTTCCATTTTACTTGAAAACGCCCTAAATAAATTATAGAAATGCATTTTTACTGATAATTGGTATTAAAAATGCCATCTCTACCCCAATGCACTTTTAGGTATCTTATGTCACCCTGTCCACCAGAGAGACTTTTTCAAAAGCTGGTCGAGAGCTGTTAGGGGCCATCACAGCGGTTCACCCTGAGATAATTTCTGTCCTTTTGAATAGAGTTCAAGACACCATTGACCAGGTTGGAATGGTAAGAGCACCAGTTTTTGTTTCTTTGTTTGTTTCATTTTTTGTTTGTTTGCTTGTTTTGTTTTGTTTAAATCCTGGAGTAATGGAGCAATGGGAAAAATAGTAAGGTGGTTGGGATGACTGAGTCATGGGCACAACAGGGTGAAGAGAACATTTATTGTGTCATTTATTAAACATTTTTCTGTGCCATTCACTGTGCCTGCTTGAGGTTAGCTGCCACTTATAAAAAACGTGATTGTTTCTCTTTATCCTCTCAAAGTGACTTTCCCACCTCCTTCAGCCACAGGTTTGTACTTTGATTATAGCTTGTAGTTAATTAATAGTTTTTATTTCACAATTTTGTTTGGCTTTTATAATTCTTATATTTTATTCCAGGAAGAAAGAACTCTGATTGAAAAAGAAGGACTGCTTTAAATCAGTCAAAAGCAAAATTAAAAGTAGTAATTTAAGTTGAACAAGACAGATGCAGTTTAATTCTGTTGTCACAATCCCTTTTACAAAAGCAGCTTTGAGATAAAATTCACATACCATTCAATTCATCTATTTAAAGTGTACAGTCAGTGGTTGTTAGTATACTCACACATGTGTGTAGCTGTCACCACTGTCAGTTTTAGAACATTTTCATCACCTTAGAAAGAAACCACATACCTTTAGCTGCCAGACTTACATGCTCTCCAGTCCTAAGCAACCATCAAATTACTTTCTGTCTGTGGATTTACCTATTCTGGATATTTTATATAAATGGAATCATACAATATGTGTGTAATGTTTTATAACTGGCTTCTTGCACTTAGCATAAAATGTTTCCAGGTTCATCCATATTGTAGCACGGGTCAGTACTTCATCCCTTTTTATTGCCAAGTGGTGTTCTATTGTATGAGTGTGTCATTTTATTTATTTATTTTTAGAGGAGGTACTGGGCATTGAACCCAGGACCTTGTGCGTGCTAAGCATGCACTCTGCCACTTGAGCTGTATCTTCCTCTGAATGTGTCATTTTAAAAAACATACACTTAACTGAAGATTTTCTTCATCCTCTATAATAAGGCTATAATGAGTGAGTTTTTCTAATGGCAGGTAGTCTATTCATATGTCATACTTTAGGAGAAATTTTTAAAGTGATAGTGTTTTTCTCTGGGCCTGTATTTGCAAGGGCCTTTCCATCCTTCAGTCACTGCATCTTCTGTGTAGGATAGATGACTGGTAACTGTCATTACTTTCTCGCTTTCACGAGTGAGCAGATTCCAATGACAGATTAGTTTGTGAGGCTTTTTTTTTTCCTTCTAAATGAAGAATGAATGCTATATTATACTTTCCCAAGGAAAGTTTATGTTATTTTTTTTTAATTAAAAGAAACTTAATTGTGGTAAATTACACACAACATAAAACACACATTAACCATTTTTTAAAGTGACATCAGCACAATCACGTTGTTTCGCCACCTACCGTCACTACCACCCATCCGCAGGACTCTTTCATCTTGCAGAACTGAAACTGTGTGCTCATTAAACACTAGCTCTTCATTCCCTCCCTGCTCCTGGCGGCCAGCATTCTACTTTCTGTCTCTTTGAGTTTGACTGCTCTAGGGACCTCAAAAAAGTGGACTCGTACAGTACTTGTCCTTTTGTAACTGGCTTATTTCACCTAGTAATATGACCTCAAAAATGTTCACGCATGTTGTAGCATGTGTCGGAATTTCCTTCCTTTTAAAGCTTGAATAATATTCTGCTACGTGTATTTCTCGTGTTTAATCTATTCATCCACTGATGGACACGGGTTGCTTCTACCTTTTGGCTGTTGTGAATAATGCAGTGAGCATGAGTATACAGATACCTCTTTGAGACTGCTTTAAATTCTTTTGAGTGTGTACTCAGAAGAAGGATTGCTGGTTCATATGTTAATTCTATGTTTAATTTTTTGAGGAACTGCCATACTGTTTTCCATGGTAGCAGTACATGGTACTTTTCCTTTTTAGGAAGAACATTGTATCCCACTTGCTATGATGATAGTGGGATGAAGGGCTTTTCATTTGCAAACAAGAGCAAGTTCTTGGTTGCTCCTTTTTGAGTGATCATCTAATGGAATGAATTCCAAAAAATGTATGGTGGGTCTCATGGGTCTTTCAGTTTGATTGAATTCATGACCTTTTCTTCATGTGTTTTCTGGATTTGGCCACACTTACATTTTTAATTAGTCATAATACTTCTAGTAATAAGTTGTGCCCAGAGATATGCTTAACTGTAAGTGTAAAAATTAAAATCATAAGTTTTTTATTTTATTTTATTTTATTTTTTTAAAGTAGGAAACTTCCTATCTTTTTTTTTAGCCTAGTATTTACTAGGTATTTATTTATTTACTTATTTAATGGAGGTACTGGGGATTGAACCCAGGACCCTGTGGATGCTAAGCATTGTGCTCTACCACTGAGCTGTACCCACCCCCACCCCATAATGCTTTTTTAGAGCACATCTTCTGAAAGATGCCTGCACTCTCTGTTTATACATATGGTTCCTTTGTGTTCTGTGAACTGCTGACAGTTTTGGAGGAACTTGTTCAAGCCTCCAGTGTCTTCAGATGAATATGATGGCTTTGAAAAGTTTTGCTGTAACCTTGGGCTAGTCTAGAATCGGATCCTAGCTCCAGAGCCTAGGAATGAGCTGTGCCTGTAAACTTTCACTGACACACTTGGGGTGTGTCTGAAGATGATTTTGTTTTAGAGGCCCAGTAAGAGAGGGCAAATCCTATGCACTATAGGTCTGTGGAAGTTGCTCTGCGTTAGGAATAGTTGTTGATAAGGACCAAGCCTTTTAGGACATCCCAAGGTATAGAATTCAGGTAAGTTTCGGTGACAACATCAAATTAATACTATAGTATCTTACTAACATCTTCAAGTAAAATTAGTGATCTTTTGACTTTCAGTGAAAGCATAAATGTATTGTAAAGTATACTCTATAAATTCTGTATTGTTGAGAATTCTTACTAGGATTCTCTTTTCTAATCCCTTTTTTTTTTTTGGCCTTACTGAATGGACTAGGTGTTTCATTGCAGTGTTGAATAGAGGTAGTAAGAGTGGACATCCTTGCCTTGCGCCTTTTCATGTGGGAAGGGTTCCAGAGTTCACCATTAAGTATAATGCTAGCTGTAGGTTTTTCATTGATACTCTATTTTAGTCTAAGAAAGTTTGTTTCCAGTTTGCTGAGGTTTTTTTTTCATGAATGAGTGTTTAGTTGTGTTTTTCTTCATCCATTGTGATGATCATATGATATTTATCAATTTTTTTCTGTTAACGTGGTGAATTACATTGACTGGTTTCCAAATGTTGAACCATTATTGTTTCCTGAAACAAAGACCACTTGGTCGTGGTATACTATTTTATGAATGTATTGTTAGGTTCAATTTGCTAGAATTTTTTTTTTTTTGAGGATTTTTACATATATATTCATGAGTGATATTATCTGTAATTTTATTTTCTTGTTATGTCTTTGTTAGGTTTTGGTTTTAGGGTTGTACTGGCCTCATAACACAAGTTCCTTCTTTTATTTTTTGAAGAAGTTTTTGTAATATTACTGCTGATTCTTCCTTGAATGTTTGATAGAATTTATCAATGAAATCATCTGGGCCTGGGGTTTTCTTTGTGGTACGCGTTTTGCTAACGAATTGAAAATTTTAAACGGATACAGGGCTGTTCAGATTTTAATTTTTTTCTGAGTCAGTTTTGGTAAGTTATGTTTTTAAAGGGATTTTTTCCGTTTTGTCTGACTAATTGAATTTAGTGGCATAGAGTTTTTGGTAATATTCCCTTGTTGACTTTTTGTTTGTTTGTTTTTGTTTTTGTCTTTTCTTTGTTGACTTTTTCACGATCCTAGGACTTTACACGGCAGCCCCACTTTCACTCCTGACGGCGGGGCCATGCTGTGCCGTTACGTTGTGTAGCTGGGAATAGATGCTTCTCTAGACAGATCTTGTCTATAATCGTTATCCTAGTACCATTATTTCCCTCTTTTTGTCAGATGTTCACAGACATATCTTCTATTTGTTAGTAAAATGGCTATTTTACCATTTTATTCAGCATATTCAAGACCTTTATTAACAAATCCTTATGAAAATTTAGCTAAGTGCACACATACATACTACACACAGACAGAGAAAAGGTCTCTTTAAAATTCATTCTTTCTACTCTTTCAGATTTTTTTTTCCCTAGTCTACCAAATTTTGTTTTGCCTCTGGTTTGGAGCAGTGCAGGAATCTGAAAAAAATGCTAGGATGTATGTACTAGAGCTGAGTTTTCCAGTACACTAGCCACTAGGTATATGTGACTGTGACACCTTTGAAATGTGGCTAGTCCAAATATATAAAGATCTGGTGGTAGCGCACAGTGAAAAAGAATGTGACAATGAATGTATGTATGTTTATGTATAACTGAAAAATTGTGCTCTGCACTGGAAATTGACACAACATTGTAAACTGACTATAACTCAATAAAGAAAAAAAGAAAAAAAAGAAATGTGGCCAGTCCAAATTATTATGTCCTGTAAGTGTACAATATTCACTGGGTTTCAAAGACTTAGTATGAATGCAAGAATAACATATCTCAAATTTTTTGTAATGATTACATGTTACAATGCTATTTTGGACATATTGAATTAAGAGAAAAATATATTGTTAAAATTAATTTTGCTTGTTTCCTTTGACTTAAAAATGTGGCTGTTAGAAAAATTGAAATTACATGTGTGGCTTGCATTATATTTCCATTGGACAGCACTGTTCTAGACAGAAAATGAATTGTTCTTCTGATCAGTCTTTTACTTAAAGCAAACTGTATTAAGTTTACCCAGATTTATCTTAATTTGCACCTGGATATGTTATTTAAAAGCAGTTCTGTGGACTTTTTGCACAGGATTTTTAAAACTGTTTCTTACAGAATTTTTCAAATGTATACAAAAGTGGAGAACTGTAAAATGAATTGCTGTGTACCTGTTATCCAGTGTCAACAAATACCAATTCTCGATTGATCTTGTTTCATCTCTACTTCTATCTACTCCTGGTACCTCCTTCCTGGAATGCTTTGAAGCTAATAGAAATAATTTTTAAAATGCCATAGAAGTAATAATAATTATTTAAAGTGCTAAGTCTTTTTGGAAAGTGAATGACTTCTCACTGATTTATTGTGACTTTAAATTTGGATCTTACTATGGTGATTTTGTTTTTAAGT